AATGATTATTCAATTGGTCACTCATGTATAGCTCTATTTATTTTCTTTAGAAGCCACTTTGAAGATACCAAAGTACAGTACAACCACTGATAATCTTCTACCACTTTTGTCTGTAACTCACTATTACTTGTCTACTTGTTTTCCTGAGAAACTATCTTGTAGATAACAATATGTAAAACAACCACTGATAATTTCCTAACACTTTGTCTGTAATTCGGTAAGCCCCCGTTACTATGTTATCCTTCTTTCACTCTTTAAAATAAAATTAAAAAAAAGAGTGACCACCTTCCCAAATCCAGAATCCAACCCCTAAAGAAATCCTCGGAGGTCAAACCCGTGAGATGGTTACTGCTGAGGTCTTCTTTGCTCCTGACAGGGTTTTCAGAGGGAAACTTAGCTTCCTTGAGACACCCAATATGGTTCTCTGCCAGTACGCAAGTCACAAAGCATCACCAAGGCGAAATGCAACCTTGCCACGGGTCTGAACAATGCAGAGCCCCATTTCCTGCCTCCAGGGTAGCCCCACAGCCCAAATCCACCTCCTCCTCTTCACAGAAAGGAGCCCTGGCACGGTGTCCACATCTTCATATTTATTTCCACAGTAACAACATGGAATATATTAGCTACCATTGAAAAGCAAAGTCTCACTGATTGATGACTCAAGTCCCATAACAATGAGTTCCAACTATTTAAGGTCTTCTCTTACCAGTTTTTCAATCAAATGCTGTAGTGAATGGACTCCCTCCCAGGTCTCAGAAGTCACATCACAGTTTGTCTGGCAATGTATTTACAATAGGATTTGACTTCCAATACCGAGGCCAGCTGACAGTGACAGCCCATGAAACATATGACTCTGTACAAGGATTTCTTGACCTACATTCAAAGGGACATTTTTTAGTACTAGTTTAGCTCTTATCTCTCCCTAACAGGCAGAAACCACACCCCATACTCCTATCTAAATTATTATTTTGGCATTTTAAAATAAAGGAATGAGAAGAGGTGGAGGCATGAAGAAAATCCACCTCCTTCCAGCATGAGGAGACATGGAAGCCGCAGGGCGGGGAGCAGACAGCCTCTGTGTGCAGCTGCTCAAGGCTGGTTGTCACAGCTCCCTTAAAAAATGCCACCAGCAACAAGGGACTCAAAGTACGAGGCTGCAGTTGATATAAAAGAAGCTACACATTTAGAAAACATACAAAGTGAAACCAGTTGATGGTGGCCTAGGACAGGACTTGTGCTTGGAGCTCTGGTGCATCCTGGGCCAGCTGCCCACACGCCAAAGCCCATTCCTGATTAGTTATCAATACGCAATGCAAAGTGAACTACTGAAACATACACTTGTTTTTCAGAAGAGAGAAATAAAGGCACAGAAACCTGCCAAAATAGACTTTTTTTTCCGTAAGAATAGTATGGTTGATTAAAATAGTTTATCACTAGTAAAACTTGTATCACTACAGCAAACAATACAAATTAGTTTTAAAAAATGACATTCACTGAATTCCTGGTCTATGCATTCAATGTGAATAATCATCAAAAATAGATAACAATGAAAGGTTTTAAGGAGCTCTGTCTGGGGTTTCTATAGTATACTCAGTATTCCAGATGAGAAGTACCAAGATAAAGTACTAGATGTCGACTGTTCCTTGTAGTGTAACACATGGTAGTCAGAGTCCACCTTGACGTGCAGGGTCACCACGGCCACCGAGAGATACACCTGTGTGACTTATCAAAGTCTCTACTCCTAGACAGTGCAATAAACTATCTCCCACCTTAATAAATATTTCTGTACGGTTTTTGTATTTTGCTTTTAAGCTCAGCTTAAATTTTGTCAAGGAAACCATTTCACAAGAGGGTATGTCACAACCTACTATCAGCAATATTCCTTGTTTATTAGAATCTGAAGAGGCCCATATTACATCAAATATAAATATATATTATATTTACATTTCCTTCTTAGCTTTTCAACTCAGGTGAGTGTATTTATAGATAATGCCACAAATGCACCACTACTATGATCCTCAGTGCAGCTGATATTTTCCTTCCATTAGATGCATATAAGACAGCATCTTAAAAGAAGTGTACTGTTCTTTTTTTAAAAAAAAGGAGAAAATGGGATATCCATGAATGGAAGTCTAGGAATTTTCTAAGATATTCTGTTCTGGTTTTTGATATTTCAAAATACCTGAAAAATGTGGTCCCTTTTTGAAGTGCTATTCTCTACTTGGGGACAAGAAAATAAAATATGCAACTAAGAAAGGAAAAGAGTCCAAAGAAAAGAGAACCTGCTTGTTAGCTCATTAATCTGCTTAGTAAAGATCTGTTTTTAAAAGGTTTGAATACTGTACAATATTATACAAAAAAACAATCTTCAGCCTTTGAAGCAGCTGCTTCATTTTCTTAGAGATCTGTTTGCCCTGTTAACAGTCTGCTGCCGTGGTGGGCCCTGGTCTCGGTCACTTCCGGTCATCGATGGTCTTAATGAATTCCACTGCTGCTGTGAACTGCATCCACCAGTAGGACTCCTCTCCGGACAGACAGCTGGCGTAGAAGCTGCTGATGTACTGCACAGTAGACAGCAAACAGGGTGGGTTTGCCTAGAGGAGTGAGAAGTACAAGAGTGGATTGCTCAGATGCTAGGCTCGGCCTCAGTCACCTTACTAAGTGTTCTTCTGTGAGATACCAGTCCTTTTGAAAAGAAACCTCTGATTTGCTTTTTGGAAGTAATCTGTAAGTACTACTGTGAGTAGCAACAGCATATGAGAAAGGCAGCTGAGTTCTAATCCTAGCTGAACTATCTATAGCCCTGCATCCTAGCAAGTCACCTAACCTTACTGGTTCTCTAAGGAAGCTGAACTAATCCCCATACTCTAACTCAACATTCCAGGACTCCAAAAGCTCAGGCAAGAAAATAAATGCTGTAGGCAAAGTGAGTTACATATGGTTGGTAAATCCAGGTAGGAACAATCATGCAAGTTAATATGCCCTCGTAGAAAGACAGAAAACAGAACATCTCTCCTGTTGGGCATTTTTTTTCCCACTTTCTTCATGTGGAAAGAAAAGACACAGGTTGTTAGATGTTTAGGTAAGGTCCTTTCCTTAAAATTAGATTAACCTAGCTCAGATCACATGTAGAAGAGAGAAGATCAACGGCTGATGTGCAGCATCTCTGACTCTGAGCTGAGAAGTGCAAAACATCACCAGCTTAAGAATTAGTGAGCATGGTGGCAAATGCCTGTAATCATAGCTGTGCAGACAGCTGAGGCAGGAAGATGCAGCTCAGTGGTAGAGTGGTTCTCTAGTATGCATGAGGCCCTGGGTTCAATACCCAGCCCTGCAGTAGGGAAGAAGAAGAAGAAAAAAAAGAAATCAACCAGCCATACTTTTAGATATCAATGGCTGAGCTGCACTGGCTAGAATACATAAGTGAGGGAGGGGCTGTGTGCACCCAAAACTCATGGTGAAAATATACTGTTTAAATGATAAAGCTTTAGTTTTAAAGATCAAAGAAAACTGGAAAAAAAAAAAAAAAAGATATAGTCATGTCCAAAGAGCCAGGTGTGGTGCTGTATGCCCGTAATCTCAGCAGTCAGGAGGCTGAGGAAGGAGGATTGCCAAGTACAAGGGGATCTTGGGCTACATAAGCAAGTTCAAGGGCAGCCTAGACTACGTAGTGAGACCCTGTCTCAAAAAAACCAAAAACAAATAATACCCAAATAATAATGTACAATTCAAAATAAGAAGCTGAAAGAGGGGAAGAGATGGTCTACCTAACAGACAATATAAAGAACTCCATGTGAAAGACAAAAGCAAAACCCAAGAGACACTGCCCTCATTTACTCAGTGACTGTGAAGGGCCAACCCAGGACTTTGCACCACTTTAAGAGCTGACAGTGCTGTCCATGAGTGGGCCCTCCCACCCTTTCTTTTAAAAGCCCTGACTTCTGGATGGAACAAATCTTGCCATTAGACACTTTCTGGGTGACCCAGAGCTTGAGACCTGCAAAAGAGCCCAGGTCCCTAAAACCATGTGAAGCCCTATACCATTCATCTCAGGCTGCCACACACACACTCACTGATCAACTACAGCAAGGGACCCACCTTTATCAGCACGAACACCAACACAGGGACAAAGTCATCTGCTCCGGGGACGGAATCCTCATTGGCCAGGCTCAGGAGGTTCATAATGGTGGAGCACATTCTCAGGATGCACTGCACTTTGTCCCGGGGGGTTTTATAAGCACTTATTGTCCTGATTTCAGATTGTGCAGATGGCCACGGCGCCTCTCGAAGATAAACCTAAGGGAGACCATATACAACATGTAGATCCCAGACCCAACAGTCATTGGTGCAGGGAACGAGATGGTAGCAACCTTTACGGCCCGAGGCAGGGGGCAAGGTGGCAGCTTTTACCTTTTCCATAAAGCCACATTGTAGTTCCCTACTCTCCCACCCAAGGTTATAGTGCACCCCTCAAGCTTCAACAGAATCTGCTTTGCTGGGCACAGAAGCTCTGCTCGGGTACTGAGTCATTCTGGGGAAGGGCTCTTTCTTTCTCCTCTACTGAGGTCCACTTCCATGCCAGGAATTCAAACCACTGAAGTACCTTGAGAATGTGACAGGCGGAAGAACACCTAATACAAATGATGTTCTGTGTTCTACGGTACTCTAGTTCCTTGACAAAGGGTTAACATGCACAACACTGCTTTACTTCACATCACCCATGCCACGAAAACTTGCAGTACCTCTGGTATCTGAAGAGCTCTGTGGTTTGCAGTCACTACTTTCGACAATCTTTGGATGTGTTCATGAAGAACCCTGAAAATTCCCCAAAATACAGATGTAAGTATACATTTCAAAAAATAAGGCACAATACACATAATGGATTTTTTTAAAAACACTAAAATATTTCAGACTGATTTCTAGATACAGATTACAGCTTCCACTCAGACTCTCCCTTAGCCATAAATACTCTTGTCAAAAAAGGCTCATACTGCCAGGCAGATTGGTACATGCCTGTAATCCCAGCTTCAGGGGTGGCTGAGCAGGAGGATTACCAGTTTGAAGCCAGCCTAGGCAATTTAGAGAGACACTGTCTCAAAAAACAGAGCTAGGGATGTAACTCTTGAGTACTATACCAACTGTGCTCCTATTTAGGATCTACTCTGAAATGCTGAGTAGAGTGAGGGGGTGCAGGGAGGAAAGTAAAGCCCTCTTCTCTTGAACTAGAACAGCATTCTAAGGCAGGGGAGGGGAGCAGAGGAGAAGGAAGGGGAGGGGAGGAACCCTTAGCTTAGACTCATTATTCTGAAGAAAAGAAGAAAAGGTTAAAAAAAAAAAAAAAAAGGAAACAGTAGAAAAGAAAAGAAAGTGAGAGGATGTAAGATGGATCAAAAGCCAGAACCTTAAACTCACAGCTGTCAGATGGAGAACCATCCACCCAATGACTCAATAGGTAGATGAAGATAATTAGGATTAAAGAACTAAAAGATTTGCCTTAGTAGCAAGGGTTAAATCACCTTCCAGGCTTCTAGTGTTCTTTCCAGACACATGCTTGCTCCACCCTCTGTAGAGCCTGCAGAAATGCCATGGAGGAAGGGGTAGGAGTAATCAGCTGCAAAGCTGCTCTCTACCATAAATTCAGCTTCAATGTTCATACCTTCTCTTTTTCTCCTGTATTAGGGTTTGACCCAGGGCCTCATTCCTAAATCCTAGGCAAGTACTCTATTACTGAGCTACATCTCCAGCTGTTCTCTCCCTTTCCCACGCCTGATGCCAATACCTGGTGCTGCAGACAATTTGTAACCATTAAATCTTGAAAGTGGCCTGTATGTCCATCAATAGACGAATGGATAAAGAACATGCATCTTAAGACCATAATGTTAAAGTGAAATAAATCACACACACAAGTTTAAATATTGCATGGTTTCTCCTATATGAGAATCTCAAAATATAAATGAAGAGCAAAACAAAGATAATAGGAAGTAGAGAGACAGATTGATCTTTTTCAAATAGGAAGGGGATCATGCAGTTGTGTAGAGGGGAAGACGATGAAAAAAGGAATTAAGATGTATTATGTAGGGGCTGGGGATTTAGCTCAGTGGCAAAAGCGCCTGCCTGGCAAGCGCAAGGTCGTGAGTTCGGTTCCCGGTACCGGAGAAAAACCAAAAAACCAAAAAAAAAAAAAAGATGTATTATGTATACATACCCACTCCCCACAAGGAATGTAATCATTGGGTACTGCAAATGTCTACTAATAAAAACTTAAAAACAAAGAAATAAAATAAATAGGATTAAAGAACTATGTGGACAGAACATAGCCCTGGGATAGGCTATCAACCCAAGACTATGAACCAATGAGGGAGGCATTTCACAGGCAAGTAAATTCTCTCATATATATATTCAACCTCTGAAAATATATGAATGGTTGTGAGTATAGTTCAGCAGTAAGGTGCTTGCCTAGAATGCATGGGGCCCTGGGTTCAATCCCTAGCACAAAAAAAAAAAAAAGCACAACCCTAAAAAATAGCTTCTCGGTACCAGAACCACCAGACTGTCAGTGACAGACTGGTAAAAATCTGTAAAAAAAAAAAAATCTTATTATAAACCACTAATAAGCCACCCTGAGATTCTACTACATGGATCCCCAAGAACTACTGAGCACTATATGCCACTGTCACTGCTGGGAAGCTGACAACTTTAACATGCTTAGAAGTAGGATTATGGAGCAATGTTCAGGAAAGTAAGAGGGAAAAAACCCCTGCTAAATCCTTCATACTCTCAATACCCCAAAATAACCAATGTTACTATTCCATATTGTTTTAAAAAGTACTATCTATCTATTCCTCCATCTGTCCATCCATTCATCCATTCATTCATTCCAGGGCCTTGCGTACTCTACCACTGAGCTACATTCAAGCTCCCTTTTTTAAAAGGCTAGAAGATTGTTAATCTCCTATCACCTTGTCTGAAGTTCTGTATTGCTTGTATTGTTTTTGTGTTATTTTCTAAATGTATGTGTGTTTTTAATGTTTTCATTCTTTTATCTTTAAAATAAAAAAGGACAATAAATAAATAAATGAACAGAACTCAATTAATTGTCTGTAATATTACAGGTAAATGTTTTTTCTGAATTTGTTTCATTAAAAAAAACAGGCGCTGGAAGGCTGAGGCAGGAGGATCAAAGTCCAGTGTGGCTAGCTCAACAAGACCCCGTCACAGAATAAAAATTTAAAAAGGGCTCGGGATGTAGCTCAGTACAAAGGCTCTGGGTTCAATTCCAAATACCACAAAGAAATTTGAGATATAATCCATATTCAGTATCACACAATTCCAGATATTTGTTGATATTCACATACATAACTGTTCATTCCTAATAAATATATAATGAGCGCATATTAAAAGCCAAGCATCATTCATGCTTGACATTGTGACACAGTGGTGAATAAAAGTATTATTTCCTACAGTCACAGAGGGGACAATCAAATCCAGTAGTGGAACAAGCATTTTTCAAATGACTGCACAATGATCGGCTGGGCATGGTGGTGCACACTTGTAATCCCAGTACTCAGGAGGCTGAGGCAAGAGAATTGCCGTGAGTTTGAGGTCAGCCCAGGCTACATAGTTTAAGACCAGCCTGAACGACACAGCAAATTCCTGTCTTAAAAAAAAAAAAAAAAAAAAAAAACAAGAAATAGAAAACGAAAAACCAACCAGTGATCAACAAGAAGAGAGAATTTCATTCCCCAGAGACACCTGGCACTGTCTGGAGGATTTCTAGCTGTCACAACTAGCTGGACATCTAGAGTACAAAGACTAGGAATGCTGCTAAACATCCTACCACAGGAAAACCTCTCACATCAAAGAACTATCTGGTCGCAAATGTCAGTAGTGCTGCACTGAGAAACTGTGATTCAAACAAATCGCAAACGGCAACTGTGCAAGTGCTAAAAAGAAGAAACTAGGCCTAAGAGACCCCTGAGGAGATTGAAGCTGGTCTAGCAAGACTTCCCAGGGAACAGATCTAAATGGTAAGAGTTCATCACAGGAAGGCAGAGGGGTGCAGGGTAGACAACAGTGCCTTCCAAAAACACCTTACCAATTCATCCTTCCTCTAGCCTGACTGCCTACAGTTCTTTTACTATGTGGTACTGTTGTTTTCTTTTACTATGTGGCTCTGACAGGGGAAAATGATATCTGATACATTTTCTTTGCTATCAGATACTAAACACACCCTTGCCGAAGTATGGGGCTACCCGCAACATTCATGTGGTCCAACACAAATACTCAACATAGAAGCACTCACTGGTCACGAAGTATGTCCCCATCCTGGTTAGGGTAGAAAGCAAGCTTGAAAATCCGATTCATCACACTTCGTTCAATAGCCAGCTGAGCATCCTGAAGCTGCTCTTCACTGGCATTTTGCCATATGACATCCTGGGCCATTGCACCATAAAGGAACTGCAGAAAATCTTCTACCTGAGCAGTTTTATCATCAGCTGCTGTGAGTTTCTGAAAGTCTCCAATGCAAAATAATAATCTTTAAAATACACCAAATGACTAATCTTAAAAAATATACTACAGGAATGATTTTAAATTATTTTGTATAAAATCTTACATAAATGGGTACATACAATCACATACCCACATGAATGATCAGTTTCAGTTATTCTTGACCTGAAAGTATTAAATGGAAAACTCCAGAAATGCACAATTCATGCTTTAAATTCTATGCCATTCTGAGTTGCATCAAGAAACTCTGCTCCATCCAGCCCAGGATGTGAACCACCTGAGTTATCAATGTAGCAGAGCACCCAGTACCATCTAGTCTCAGGCATCCTCTAGGGGAGTCCTGGAACACAGCCCTCATGAATAAGAAGGACCGGCACAGAGGCACAACTTTAATCACTAGTGAGGCAGACACCAGGATCTTAAAGTCAACTGTATCTGAGTGTGACTTATTTTAGGAGACTATGGAGCCAAATCATTAAAATCTGATGAAGTAAGAAATCTGTAAACATTTAAGTGCAGGGAATTTGTTATAAAAATATGTATTGGTGTTAAAAAAAAAATGGGGAAAATTGTGTGGATGCAAAAATTTACCAACTTCCCCTGGTTTTAAAATTAAATGTTTACTCTGAGAAAAAAATGCAATCTGGAGATTTGACATCAAAATTTATTTATAACCCATAAAAGAGGAGGATAAATATGATGAAAATACTTCATACACACTGAAATCCCTCAAAATACAGAAACTAGGAGGAAAGGTGAGGAAAAGGGTCACAGGGTGAAAGGATTAAAGCATGTTATGTGCATGTACAAATCTGCCAAAATGAAACACATTAATCTGTATAACCAATATGCACTAATTCAAAAATGTGGCATAAATTTTTAAAAATGAAAGATTTTTTAAAATCCTAAAAGTCTTTTGGCCATTTCTTTTCACAGCAGTAAATTTAAGTTAATTTTACTCCTAAAAGAATCCATTAAAGAACTGAGTATTTAAGGAGCTTTTCTAGGACATGCAGGTATTCATACAAGCTAGCAAAGAAAAACAGAACAAAATATTGCATTCTTCCCAATAATATATGGCGGAAGAAAGGTTTCATGAAAAGGTGTTTAGTTACCTTGAATGAATTCCCTGATCTTCTTCTCTTTGCTCTCAAGCAGTAACCTCACACAGACAGTGGTGAAGTATCGGTTGGCCACCTCTTTGTCACGCAAAACCCTTTGCAACAGCCTTTCCAGGTGAGCCTGTGTGGTCTGGAGCCCTTGCCGACAGCGAGTGAGATATGCAATATATGGGGCTCGTTTCCTAAAAGGAAAAATGCCTTGCAGGAGAAGACATGTAAAGTACACTCTTTCTTGATGACTCTGAGTCTTGATAATAATAAAAATTTACTTTCACTGAGTTTGGTTTTGCAAATTGGCGTGTCAGGCTGCAGTCAAGTGTCTTGAGGACTGTTCATGCTACCAGCTCGAGAAACAGAATTCTTTGCATGATCAAAGTAGCTACCAGGCCAAACACTTCACTACCGAACTCACTAAGTGTCACTACGCTCCTTCACAAATCTGACCCACTTTCACACTGGTAGGATCTCCTACTTAGCAGGAATTGACTGCTACAAAAGACTGAAAAACCGAACAAGACACAGTGATATACACAAGGCCATTAAACACCCCGCACCGATTACTTGCTTACAATGTAAAGGAAGTAGTAGATCAATCATCCCCTCAACCTCAAAGCGGGTGCACTGCCTGCGTATCTCAGTTACTCTTCCCACCATCACGAGCAAGGGGGTGGCAGATAAAAATGGGTAATGAGTCCTAGGGCCACTCTTACTTCTCTGGCCCAGACAACTAGTTTTTCCTAACATGCCTACACAATCAAAAGTGATAACATACTTATCCCAGCTTCACAGATGAGACAACCTCTCCTCCTTCTGTATATAAAGTTGAAGTAAAATGTATTTTTCTATTAGTGAAAGTGGCTCATTTTTAACTAAATTTCTAGAATGTGTTACTTAGAAATCTACATTCAGGCAAACACAGCTATATACTTTGTAGTAACCTTAGATTTATTTCTGAAAAAAAGGACCAAAAGGAAAACACTGGAGCTAGAAGTCAGGTCCACAAGCTGAACAGGCTGTGTGCATTACCTGTAGTCCTCAGCGATGGATGCCAGCAGTTTCCTACAAGTCCTATTATCAAATCGGCACACACAGCGCATCGTTTCTTGAAGCTGAGCCATTAAGTTCTTATCTTGTAAATTTATTGCTTCAGCTATTTGAACTTTTAAGAAGCATACAATTTCATTGTCTAAACAAACAAACAAAAATTCTGTTACTGAGAATTTCCATGGGTTGACATAAGCTTGGTGCAACCTGTAAGCATTAGGGATAGTAATTCTACTGTAAGCAGTACCGCCATTCCCATTTGATGAGAACTTTCATACACCCTCGGTACTCAAAATGCTCATTTTGACTCAAAGATTAACTGTGACACTAACATAAATGTATTAAATTGCTTCAGCTGGACATGGTGGCACATGCCTATAATCCCAGCAACTCAGAAAGGATCTCAAATTGAAGCCCAGCCTGGGAACTTAGCAGGACCCTGTCTCAAAACAAAAAAACCCAGCCAGATGTGGTGGCCCACACCTGTAATTCCAGCACTTGAAAGGCTGAGGTAGCAGGACTGCCATGAGATCAAGGCCAGCCTGGGCTACAAAACGATTCAAGGCCTGGCTGAACCACATAGCAAGACCCTGCCTCAAAAAAACCCCCAAAAGCAAAATGTGGCTCGGGGTATAGTTCAGTGATAAAGTGCTTGCCTAACATGTGTAAGGCCCTGGGTTCAATTCCCAATACCACAAAGAAATCTGAGACATAATTCATATTTAGTATCACACAATTCCAGATATTTGTTGATATTCACATACATAACTGTTCATTCCTAATAAATGTATAATGAGCGCATATTAGAAGCCAAGCACCATGCCTGACAGTGTGACATAGTAGTGAATAAAAGTATTATTTCCTGCAGTCATGGAGGAAACAATCAGTCCAATAGTGGAACAAGCATTTTTCATATGGTCACATAACCAGAGACTGGTTGGGCATGGCAGAGCATGCCTATAATCCCAGCACTCGGAAGGCTGAGGCAAGAGGATCATGTGAGTTAGAGGCCAGCCTAGGCTGCAAAGTGAGCTCAAGGCCAGATGAACTGCATGCAAAACCCTGTCTCAAAAAGACAAAAAAATAAACAAAAACCCTAATACCAAAAGAAAAGAGAAACAGTTTAATCATGGAATTTCTATGCAGCAGAGCAGCTGAATCCTGGCAATTCTGTATGGTTCAAGCTGTAAATATAAACAAAAAAACTAAACTATCTGCAACAACTAACCTTCCGGGTCTGTATGGTCTGGTAATCCATTTCTTGTTGAATGAGTCAGTACTGGGAAGGCAACAGAATCCGCAGAGCAAAGAGCAAGTCTCAGTTTCTTTTTCGCATCTCTGAAAAGTGAATAAAGAATACATTAGTTTTTTTAAATCCAGAAATGGTCATGTATATGTGTGTGTGTGTGTATGTGTGTGTGTGGTGCTGGGGATCAAACCCAAGGCATCATGCATGGTAAGCATGTGCTCTACCACTGAGCTACAGCAGTCAGAAGTGGCCTTATTTTATGAATATTTACGATATAGATTAATATGCTACCTCACAACTCAAATGTCTCAGATGATCATTTAAAAGAAGACAATTTTTAACTTACCGACACCTCACTTAAACAACAGGCTTCTAACTACTTGGAGAACAAGGTGCTGTGAGGCAAGGAACCACTCTTTACAGCCGCCAGAATCAAGTCCTTTCTGACCTCCCATCGTACGCTGAGATCTCCAACAGGCATGGAAGAAAACGAGGACAGAACATATGCCAGGGTAGGGGGCACACAGAAATCATCTGTGGCACCCAGCACCTAAACTGAGAACACCTTTTACTGTATCTCTTGAGAAATGCTGGTCCTGCCATAGGACAAACTTGTCCCTGCCAAAAAGCTCTTTCTATTGCTCTACCACTTGGAAGCTTTTCATGTGGAGCTGAAACCGGATTCCTTTTAACTTCCAACTGCTGAAGCACCTACTGCCACCCGGAGGCAAAGCTCTCCTATGGTAGGGGCCACCCTCCACAGCAGTGCAGCCTGCAGTCCTTTCCGGCCCTGTGGACATGGAGCAGGATGTCCAAATTGGCCATCAAGAGAAAGGTAAGTGAGCACCTTCGAAAAAGGCCAGAGAGCGTGCCTCCTCTACAGGCTATCACCCATCCACTGCATGGCTAGCTGAGTCTTTCCCTATTGGATTTCTTCCTATAAAATGGGTAATCTAGAAATCAAGCTGATTAAATATAATATTCACTGAATATCAAAAATCTCATGATGTACATAATGGTAAAGTCCCTTGATTAATTTAGGAAAATAAAATGTAGCTGAAAATAAAAATTATGTTGCCTACTCTTCCCCTAATTGTACTGTTGAAAAAAACCATACAATTTCAAAATATTTATAAATAAAATGATATGCTCTTTAGAGTTTGCTTTGAAATAACTGGAGGACGTCAATATGGATCTGAATAATGAGCACATCGTGACTTGCTTTAATCGGGGCTTTAAAGTACGTGCTCCTTGTCTGGGAAGCAGAGGTTTCTTGTCAAACAAAGGCAACATTTCCTGATCCTGAAGTCATTTTCTTTCTGAAACTGAGGTCTATCCATGGAACAGAGAGGATGACAAAAAGAGGGCTCCATGAGGCAGTACACAGAATTCAGATCTTAAACTCTCTATGGTTAAAAGTAACACCAGAAATAGGAGGAAAATAACACCACAGAGGAATAGTTCAGCCTGAACAATGCAAAGGTCCCTACTAATACATCAGATATGGTTTCTTTGTTCCCTTATGTTCTTTGGGTATGGTTATAGTGTTTGTAGGCTTACAGGTGAAGAACTGCAGATAACTGGTGCTGGATAGAAGAGCCTTATTTTTTTCTATGGCATCTTACTATTTTTGTAACATGGCGATTGGGCTGAACAAAATCAAAGTACAATAGTAACTGATCTCTTTCCTGGATCAGTGAGCCCATGATTAAATACTGATATCAGCATCCTTGGACATACCCAAATGAGTGGTATCTGCCTACTACTTCCTTTGAAATGATGCAGTGTTTTGGCTGTGGTCCAAAGCGTTGAAGCACTACCACTTGGCATTTCCTTTCTTCAATGGAGCTCTTACGGTTCAAACATGACAGATTTGATAAAATACTAGTTAAGCTGAGCCTTGCTTGTCTTCACTCAGTCACCTTCGTATGTAACCTTTTATTTATTTTCTGTTTTTTTGTTTTTTGTTTTTTGTTTTTTACCCCAGGTTTTAAAAAAATGGTTTTAGCTGATGTTCATGAAGAGAGTGAGTACTTAATCTGTGCCATTAATGAAAGCAAGTTCTAAGAAAGTGCATTTCTTTATAGAGCTGTGTCTTATCATCCTTTGGGCTTTGTGCTGGATTGACAACTGGTGGTCAACCTGTAACACCCAGGTGAACTGAACCAGCGTGCTGGTGGGTGGAAGGCCCACCTGAGGATTATTGCTGGCAGCATAAGAGGCATAACTGGAGAGGAAGAAGTTTAAAACCTGTAGAGAGCTGTTGGGTTTCCTGGAGAAGTCTGTCATGCTGGCTTTCCTGATGAACTTGGCTAGTCACATCATTGGAGGAGCTCGGGACCTTGCTGTCACTTAGAACAGGTATGGTTCACTTTGGGGGAGCTCTGGTCCTGATGGTGCACTGTTCAATCTCCTGGAGAAGCTTGTTGCCCTGGCTTTCCTGATACAGACTCAAGTTATCTCATCGTCAGAGGAGCTCGGGACCTTGCTGTCGCTGAAGATGGCTGTGGTACTTTTCAGGGGAGCTTTGGTTCTTACTTTGAGCATTGCTTCCTGGCTCCAGTGCAGATCCCTCAGCCTGCTGTCACAGATCCTTCATTCCACTGGCACAGACTTTCTAGCTCCCACCACTGACCTTTGGGCCTTCCTAGCGCAGATCCGTGAAACAGGCCTGCATGAGACATTGTTGTGGGCTCTTGGCCTCCAGCTGGACTCATGGCGGTGGGGGAGGGATTGTTATGGGCTCTAGATCTTCAGGTGGACTCATGCTAGACATTACTGTGGGATCCAGATCCTTAGCTGGATTCTTTGATTCTTTAGTGTATGGACAGATTTCCTGCTTTTTTTTGTTATTGTTTTGTTTTTGTTTTTTGTTTTGTCTGAGACAGGGTCTCACTTTGCAGTTCAGGCTGGCCTTGAGCTCACTCTGTAGCCCAGGCTGGTCTCAAACGTTCAACAATCCTCCTGCCCCAACCTCCTGAGTGCTGGGATTACAGATGTGTGCCACCACGCCCAGCTATTCTGCACTCTTTTTGTATATGACTCTGAGTGACTATTCTAAAATAATTCCATAAATTATGTGTCCTGTACTGTTTCCCTTGTGAACCCTGACTACAACAGGCCCTCTGTTGCAAAAGTAGAATGAAGTCTGAAATAATGCCTTATTAATTTATCCTTTAGTATTACAGATGTAGGACAGTACTGTATCATACCTGTGAATATAAAATATCTTGTACGTGCTTTATGATACATAATAGCGACTATGCTTTATCAGAGCTGTTTTCAATGATGACACTCTAGAATGTTTTCCTTCCAGATGATGATTAAGAAGCTAATAAAAAAAAATGGTCCAGGTACCACAACAGTAACAGAACTTTGCTGTTTTCTGAGTATTTTTCTTTTCTTTCTTCCTCTTGTTTTTTTAAATGCAGTGTGCTGGATGTCTATAATTCTGTTCAGATGACTGCAGAACATGGTAAAGCTGTTGCTGTTACTGATGCACAACATGCTGCTATTATTGGTCTTTTTATATAAATACACACACACACACATATAATTTGAATTTTTGGAAACTCTGTGCTGTCAACTTTGGAAAAAGTTATCCCAGTTGAGTTGGCATGAGTTGGCAACAGGTGTATTAGTCTAGAAATGTTAAACTTAATTTTTCCCATTTGTACAAGGGTAACACACTGTATTAAATATGTAAGGTCTTATCTATATGGGTTTGATTACAGAAACTAATAAAGTATTCTCTAAATAATGGAAAAAAAAAAAAAAGAGGGCTCCAGGAAGTCTACTGGGACATCCGATGACTGAGTCACTCTGTGCTGATCCCAGTGCAGAATGATTCCTGAACACCTGCATCCTCCCCAGTTGGTAGCGGGTGGCTTTGCACAGGCAGGGGCACTGCAACTTGTTTCACTTAAGCCAGTTATGTGAATCCTGTGGGCAAGTGAGGTTTTTAAATCCCTGCATTAATGCCACTGATAAATGAGATCCACAAGTGAAGCAAGTGTTCCTAGTAGATAGCATTTTGTTATCTGTATGTTTTATGTACTTATTAAGTGACTTAGTGAACTGTGACTGCAATGGTAATGAAAAGTTCAAACTCAAAAGTCTTTAAAAGAAATACCTGTAAGAGAAAGCTGAATCCTGAGGATGGGCTGCTTGGCTCGCAGAGTCTGGGAGATCATCAGCTGAGATGTTCTGTAGCGTTTCATCACGAGGAGAATCATGTGCACTTTCACCATCACCCAGGACTTCTGAACAAAACCCATCCACCAAGAAAAGGATAACCAGGTTAATTTGGAATATTCCGGTATTCAGAGAAACTCAACTACAAGTTAGCACTGTTCCGCATTAAGAGTTCTTTGGGAGAAAATATAGAGAAAGAAAACAAACTTCAAACATTTAACCAAGTTATCCATAGCAATGACAATGTATCAAGACAGAAGATGCTAGCTGGGTGTGGTGGTGCATGCCTGTAATCCTAGCACTCAGGAGGCTGAGGCAGAAGGATCATTTCAAGTTCAAGACCAGCCTGGGCTACAAAGTGAGCTCAAGGCCAGCCTGAACTGCATAGCGAGACTCCGTCTCAAAAAGACACACAAAAAAAACAAAAACAGAGGGAGCGAGCAGATGCTGATACTAGTCCCAATCCTAACCCCAAACAGTGAGTAAAGTTAATATTCCATCATTAGAATCACTGAACCACAGAACTAAAAGAGACCTCAAAAATCACTTTGCACAATCTTGTCATTTTACAGACATAGCCTCCCGCCCAGTCAGAAAATCCCTTGCTCTAAATCCTGTGGGATCTACAGTGACACCACCCTGAATGCACCCGGACACATCTAAATCCCATGAATGCCCAATGGCTTAGGTGGACCAAGGAGATGAGTCTCCTGATTCTCCTCACCACAGTCCTCCCACCCGCACAGAAGAATGAATCATACAAACGCAGCCAAGGCCAGGTCTGTGGTTCTCAGAGCTGTTACATTTTTCATTAATTAAGAAAAGGTAATATACACATGTGTACAATCAAAAGAAACAAAAAGTTCCTCAATGTAATAAAGACACTGTGTTTATATAGGAAAGTACCCTTATTCTTAGAAAACAATTTCAAATGCTTCAAAAAAATAGAAAATGTGGCCAAATGTTAATGACCAGATAAGTCTACACTGACTGTATATAAACTTTCATCTTATTATTTTTTAACTTTGTGTAGAAGCTCCTCTCCTCTCACCTCCCTTAGAGCCAAACTTCTGTTACCTGTTTGCTGAAGATTCTTCCAGAATATGCTTTGTACACACAGGTAAAAGTTTACCCAGCACACTACTGCTTTTATGGACTTCTATTTCCCTTTAGTTAACCTTGAGGACTGTACCACAGTCTTCTGGTAGCTATTCAATATTCCACTATAAGGTAAATATGATCCTTTAAAACTAAGTACCAAGCCAGGGGTGGTGGCTCATGCCTGTAATCCCAGCAATCAGGAGGCTGAGGCAGGCCAATCGCCAGGAGTTCAAGGTCAGCCTGAGCTACAAGTGGGCTCAAAAGCCAGCCTGAACTACATAGCAAGACTCCGTCTAAAAAAAACCAAATCAAATGAAAAAAATACTAAGTATCAAACAACAATGGACAACCTGTCCTAACAGTCTCTTGCTTCTGCTATGTCTAGAGTATATAATGAGATGAAATTATAATTCTGAGGACAGAAGTGCACAATTCTTGTTGGTGCACTCCAGACTCACAAGATGACAGCTGTACAGCACCAGAATATCTGGGAGTGCCTGGACTTAGTGGGCGAGACATCAATTTAATCTAATTTGGTTACAAAGTTTATAATTCTGAAATAATATACTGATTCTCCTAGCTATTATTTCTTTTTAAAGACTACTTAAATTCAGATTATCTTTATCACTATACTTAAAAAATCACTATTAAAATCTTTTTTTTCTTGGTACCAAGAACTGAACTCAGGACCCTGAGCTTTCCAAACAAGGCACTGTGCTGCTGAGCTATCTCCTTGCCCCCGCAAATCTTTTAGCATGGTAATCACCTGCACTTTCATAGTTTGCCATTGCTCCTTCACTGGGGCTGGTCCTTTTAATGGCATTCCGGTATTTGTCCAGAATATCCTCAGCGACCTGAGCTTGTGCACTGACCCTAGGGCTGGGATCATCTGCAGGGGAAAGAAAAGAGAGAATCAGCTCCGTGGCTACGTGCCAACCCTGATGTTAGTATGACACCAGTAGCATAATCCCGAAGGCAGATTAGGAGGTGAGACTTAAAAAGAGCACATATCTCAATGTTAAGAGGCACCATGCAGCTGCCTACACATCCCGCGTCTAGGTCTACAAGTTTTGTCAAAGCAGAAAATTAGGAGGAGTTGCTCCACCTTCTCATCATCACCAGAATTTTGCATAACAGTGTCAGAGTTCAGTGCAGACTGAATGGATGGCAGGTTTCTAAAGGCTTACACTCAAGTCACTGTTATTAGCAATTCATGCCAACAGAACTTCCAACAAAGCATTTTTATATGCAGACTTCATTTAATCAGACATCTCCATGCTGAAGGAGAAAAAAGAACTATTCAAACTTAGACTTAAGCCCTTCTCTGATGAAAAAAATGCCTTTCTTCATAAATCCTTCTCTATACAACATCTGAAAGCTGCAGATGCTCATTCTGTCTTACTAGATCTCACTATGACACGCAGCTGCCAGGACAGAGTGCCTCTGTGCACGCAAGGGCCAAAAGGTCAGAAGCACTCCTAGAGAATCTAGCCTTCTGGTGGGTGCTGAAATGGGAGGTGGGGTGCAAAGAGAAAAGGCTACCATAACCACAGTGCAGCTCTGTTTACTGACAGGACTATTATCCCACTAACAGAATCAACACATCAAAAATGTTATCCTGGCCAGGAGCACTTGCCTGCAATCTCAGCACTGGGAAGGCTGAGGCAGGAGGACTGCGGTGATTTCGAGCCGAGCCTGGGCTACATAGTGAGTTCAAGGCCAGCCTGAACTATATAGCAACACCCTGTCTCAAAAAAAGCCAAAACAAACAAAAAAGTTATCTTGGCATCTACAATAGTAGTCATTACTTTAACTGGGTTGTCAAAGCAGAGAAATGCAGTAGACTTACAGGACAAAATAGCTGCCTAGGAAAGTACAAACTTCTGGCATACAGCTAGGCTAAAAGTTACTAATGAGTCTACATCTGGTAGAACCTCATTCTTTAAAACATGCTAAAATCACACCAAAATTTATTGAGCATCTACCACATGCCAGGAACTGTGCTAAGCATCTTATATGGACTATCTCAATCATCAAACAACCTTATAGAGAGATACTATTAACCCATTTTATAGCAGAGCAAATCAAGGCAGAGAGAAGTGAAGCAGTATGCTCACAGGCTCTTTTTTTGTTTTCACAAAAAAGGTATTTGGCATTCATGTCTCTATAAAATTATATTTAAATACACCAGGAGAAGACTTCCAAGTAATTTAAGATTTTTGCTAAAACAATACTTGAATTAATGATAAGAGATTCCTAATACAAACTGACCTTTTTCCAAATGTTAACAGATAAAAACCTTTATCATTACAGGATCTTATTTTGGAGGGGAAGTACTTTTTTGATTACAGATTCTGAGTGCTAATGAGGGCTGTAAAAAAGGGACAATATAATTTGGCTAAACATGGTGAACCATAATACTATGTATTAACAATTTCAATTGACATCATTCATAATTTATCCCAGAAAAATAATTAAAACAAAACTGCTATATATACAAAACTGTGAACTGTTATCATAGGAAAAAAATGGGAAACAATTTGAATATCCAATAGTAAATTTACCCTGTAGTAGAACCAAAGTATGGGCAATAAAAATGATTTAAAAGCCAACTAAGTCTAGTAGAAATTGGGAGAGGTTTATAAAATGACACATGGTAATAGAAGAATACAAAGTGCTAGGTGTGGTGGCACACACTTAAAATCCCACCTACTTGAGAGGCTGAGGCAAGAGGATTGCAACTTTGAGGCCAGCCTGGACAACTTAACAAGAATCTGTCTCAAAATAAAATCAAAATGGCTTGGGGTGTATACCTCAGTGGTATAGTGCTTGCCTAGCATGCACCAGACCCTTGGTTTAATCTCCAGTACCACTCAAAAACAAAACGAAACAAAAAGAATACAAAGTTACATACACCATCTAATTCAGTCATAAAATCTATACCATATACAAACATAGAAAAAGACTGAGAGAAAACATGAAAAACATAATAGTTGGGGTGGTGGGATTTCGGCCAGACTGTTAAGAAATGTCCTTTCATAACCTTTTACAGTAATTTAGTGATAACTTTCAGTGGATTATTAATTAAAACTGAGTATATATTTCTGCACCAGTAGAGACGCTTAACTGCTTGAACCATACCCAAAGAAAATAAATTACTTTATTAAAAAACTATTCAGCTTCAAAAATCAAGACCATATTGCTCATTGCCCAAAGACTCAATAATTTATAATTTCTCCAAAATTGTTCATTGTAAGTACAAAGATATTTCACCTAGAGTAACTCAATGATTTATAATTTCTCCAAAATTGTTCATTGTAAGTACAAAGACATGTCACCTAGAGTTTGTATATGCTGGTGCTCATCTAACAGCAGGAACAAGAAACACGAAAGGAACATAAATACCCTGCCAAAGATACAATGTGTTTCCAACTCTTCTCCAACCAGACTGGAAAGTCCTGACAAATGCAGGTCATGTGTGATTTGAATTAGTACCGACAACACTTAGCACAGTGCCTGGCGTAGTCAGATATTCAACAAGTATTTGCTGACTGAATTATCAGGGCAAACTAGGTTGCTCTTAGCAGAAGTGCAGCCTTATACACATCTCTGCTGTTTAAAAGCCTTTACTCCAGGGAAGTCACCACATCAAACAGAGCAGGAATGCATGTGCTGAAACATGGAGATACACCTAAATATAAACAGCTAGACGGTACAAATATGCATTAAAATAGGATGTTGCCTTCACCACGCTGAACTCTTTGGGAAGAATATTCATTTGAAATGTAACCCGTTTTTAATTAAAAACATTTATTTCAACCTAGCAGGATACTTTAAAAACCAAAATATGAAGAAAAGAAGTGAGAACTTCCCTCTAATAGCACTATAGCAGTTAGCCATCAATATGCAGCTATCAAAGGTTGGGTTATTAACACCACCTCTCAAATTCTTTCCTTCTAAGGTGCTTGTTCATAATGTCGCAAGGGAAGAACTAACCCCTATAGTGAGAACCTAATCCCTGGCTGTATTTTCCTTGGGTCAGGCAGCAATGTTACAATGGTTCAAGCTGTAAGAAATTAGTAAAGTTTATAAAACTTTTATTGTAATGATTGGCATTTATGACATTGTTTGAACACTTTATCATGAAAAAAAGAAAATAATCAGGTAAAATGATTTCGTTGTGATCCTGAATAAACAAAAACTATAGGTGAAAATAAATTTGAATTCTATGGTCAGTGTTAGAGAAAACTGTTCAATCAATGATCCAAAGAAATGGCATGCACAGCACTAAAACCGTTACCACACTCTCCCACAGGCACTGTGTCATCATCCCGCTAGCCGGCGAGTTGTAGCGTTTGCCTAGAGGCTCAGAGGCAGGGCCTCATCATAAACGGAAGTTATGATAATGAGGATGATGATGGTGGTGACAGTCAGCAGGAAGGGCATACTGAGAGTCACTGTGGCCACCACGTGGAAGCCACAGAGCTATGAAGAACATACTCCCCACTGTACACACACAGACACACTCTTCTAAAAAGGCAACACTTATGGTACCCAAGAAAAAGTGTTATGAAATATGTGCTCTGGGAATGAAGGAGCCAGGAAGTCCATGGGTCTACAAACCTGTGAGTGTTGAGAATCTGTCAGGCCCCAGATCATCTTTGTCTTTTTCTTGTTTTTCTTTCTTTCTAAATGGTATAGGAGCTGGAAATTAAATAAAGTCAGTAGTGTGATATATAACATACTGCACTACTTGGAAGTTAACTGGTGTGCCAACATTTCTAAGTGAAAGAAGGCTGAAAAATTTTAAAGCTAAGAAATCCCAAGTGCTGACTGATAATTTTTCTTAAAATAGCATTGAAAGGTTCTTAAAGAAACTTTCACAATCTGCTCTGCAGTCATCTGCCATGGGAAGAATGAATGACTTCACAGGGATTCACTGGGACCAAATCAAAACTACCACCTCTACTCCTCAAAAACAGCACGTTCAAAACTCCTGCCTCAAGGATCACGAATTCAAGGCCAGTCTGATCTACGTAGCAAGACCCTGTTTTAATACTAAGAAACAAAAAAGTTCTGCCTCATTCTCTTCTCCCTATCATGTAGGCTTGAGTATGGCAGGCAAGCAGCTCTCCTCAGTCCCTCAGTGCCGCAGCGCTGTGGGAGGCCTGTAAAAGAGGTCCCTAGCTTTTGGATGATCTCTCAGACAGAGAGGTTTTCACCAACTCAAATGATACCAGGCTATTCACCAAAAGAGCAAGCAGTTTTATACATCTCCCCAAATAAACACTAATCCTTAGGGTGTAAACATGTACAATGAACATAGACATAAAAAGCTTAAGTTTATTCCACGAGTGATGAATTTTCAATGTTAAATTACCAACAGCATCCCATTTTCCTACAATAATTAACAGTAATACATGTGTCAAAAGTACTGTATGTTTAACTTGAATGGTGTATGATACTTAAACGACAGTGACTAGTATGACGACTTCCGTTTTTGAACTGCTACTACTTCCTGCAAAGAATAAGAACATTTCTAAAACTCTGCCTTAGCATTCTTCAGAGTGAAACCATTTTCTACACTCTAAAAACAGTAGAAACCACAGCCAGGAGCCTCACAAAGGAGTTGAGATATTGGCTCTTTGAAAGAGATTGTGGGGCTTTGCTGCTTCTTGCTAATACGGCATTCCAAAATTTTATAAAATTACCTTTAGGCATGGCTGAAACAAAACGTTTTCTCCACCAAGGTCTGTTCCTGTCTGATTTCTCATCATCGCTATCTTTACGATCTTCAGTCTGTAGAAAAAGTTGGATGCTTTATTTGGAGTTGAGAAGCAATATAAATTATATGAAAAGGGTTTCATTAAGTCTGTGAAACTTGGTATTTCTTATCTCTGAAAAGAGCTTAATAATAAGACCTACCTCCTAAGGCTACTGTAAAGATTAAATGAAATACATATATATCTTTATGCTCAGCACTTGGCACACAGTTTTATTATGAATACTGCTGCTGCTATCTGTACTCTAGAATTTATTTGTACTACATTTATCCAGTCCTATTTGCACCAGTCCTATTTGCCGTCAAGCATCAGACTGCATCTCATTACTGCTGGTAAACCAAAAGCTTAACACAAATCCTGGTATAGAGGGAGAACTCAAAAACATTTATGGAGGGGATGGAGATGTAGCTCAATGGTAAAGTCATGTGCTTAGCATGTGCGAGGCTCTGGGTTCAATTCATAGCACAAACGAAACAAAACAAAACACACATAAACATGGGATAAATGTAGTACAAATAAATTCTAGAGTACAGATAGCAGCAGTAGTATTCATAATAAAACTGTGTGCCAAGTGCTGAGCATAAAGATATATATGTATTTCATTTAATCTTTACAGTAGCCTTAGGAGGTAGGTCTTATTATTAAGCTCTTTTCAGAGATAAGAAATACCAAGTTAATCGAAGTTATCTCCCCATCTTCCCCAAACTATGTAGCCTATATGTGGCACAACTGAGATTCAAACCCAGACCTGCCGACAGCAAAGGTTCTGAACATGATTACAGTACAGTTATTATCAACTCCATCAGGCCAAAGAAAAGGGACTGTAACTCCTTTTTTAACCTATGATGTTAAAAAAAATCTCTTAAAATTTAACTTTTTCATCTACAAGACTGGGATTAAAAATACCTTTTCTAGGAATACCCATGTGAAGAGACAATTAGACTCCAAGTATAGGCCTCTGTGCCAATGACAGGTAGCAGTACGGCTGGGAAACTGATTCTGTACAGGTCAACTAACTGGGTGAGTACATACATGAAAAACACTTAAAGCAAGGTTCTCACTGTTGGAGGAGAGAATCACAAGTATGGAAAGGGGGAAAGACAAAACAAACTCTTGTTCCTAGACTGCAACTGAATACATCAGTGAGCCCGTAGTTTTCTCTACCTATTGAGAAAGCAAGACATCGAAATGAACACACAGATAAATGTATACACACCCACACATGCACATACTCCTGAGCTCTGTCCACTGAGAGGTCCCAAGAACAACACACCTACAGTAATGAGCACTGATTCATCTCAATTTCTAAAAACTATTGCTCACTAAAAGGAGCCAGGGCTCCTTCGAGAAATGTCTGATTCTAGGACTAGAGCAGACAAAGTATGATATAAGCTTATAACATCTTGTGCCAAGAAGCAGAGAGATGTTCAATGAAGCGTAGAGACATGTCTAAAGAACCAGAAGCCAGCTTGATAGTGCTCCCGCTGGCCAGATCAGAGACAACTGAGCTTCACATCAAACCAGAGTAACTAAGCACTTGACTAAAAGAGAAAACTAGGAGACCACAGACAGAATAAGTAACAAGGTATATTTCAAAACTGGAGGAAGAACCAGACAGTTATATATTTTCAAAGCACCTCCCTACATTAATAAGTGTTACTAAAAATACTTGCTAATAAAGGGGCAAAGAGTAACTTTCCAGTGGTGAAGCCTGGCAGATACTACATTCATTCATTCATCAACACCACAGTAATGAAACAAATTAAAGCTGTGGTACCTGGTAGGACTCAATGAATAGAACAGTGTCATATTAATGAAAAATCCCACCAAAGAAGAATAACCTAAATCTAACCACAGGAAATCAACAAACCCAAACTGAAGGACACATTCTAGAGCGTCAAGGTCACAAAAGTCAAGGAAAAACTGAAGAATGGTCCTGGACTGAAAGAGACTAAGAAGACATGACGAGTGAAAACAGTATGTGATTCTGTGTGAGGTCCTTTCACCAGAAACTGAACTGTTATAGACAACTGTGCACACACAAACAGGGTTAGAATTAGAAGGTACTGATGTACCACTCTCCTTTCCTGATGTTGATGGATTTCTAAAGAAGGCTGGGAAAAGGTACTGTCTTGTAGAAAGTTCACACTAATTTTTCAGAGGTGAGGGAGACAGCATCAGGTTGGCAACTTATGCTCAAATGGGTAAGTGTTTTTCTATTACACTTCCAACTTTCCTGTTAACTTTATGACTGTTTCAAAATAAAAAAATCATACCTCCTCTAACCATCTCAGAGAGACAGATGTGAGTTTTAAATGCAGATAAAGCTGGGTGTACTGGCCTAAACCTGTAAAGCCAGTACTCAGAGAGCAGTAGGACCCAAGTTTGAACCCAGCCTGGGCAACTTAGTGACTGGTCAACAACCATCTCAAAATAAATAAATTTAAAAATTAAAGGGCTGGGGATACAGCTCAATGCAAAAAGCACTAAATTCAATCTCCAGTGCTGGCAGCAGTGGAGTGTGGTATAGTGTGTATGGATGGGACATAACACAGATGGGGTGTCAGTTAAACAAAAAATTGCTTAGAGTTTTTTTTTTTTTTTTTTTGAGACAGGGTCTCACTATATAGCTGAGGCTGGCCTTGAACTGCCGAGGCTGGCCTTGAACTGCCAACAATCCTCCTGCCTCAGCCTGCCTCGGCCTCCACAGTGCTGGGATTATAGGTGTGTGCCACTATGCCTGGCTACCTGGAGGTAAATTTTAAAAAGTGTCATACAGCAGGGCATGGTGGCACACACCTATAATCCCAACACCTGGGAGGCTGAGGCAGGAGGATCACTGTGAGTTCGAGGCCATCCTGAACTGCATAGTGAGACCCAGTCTCAGAAAGACCAAAAAAAAAAAGTGTCATCTATATGCAAAATACTGTTATTACAAAACAAAAGTTTCCTAATGCTTATGGCGGTGGACACACCAGACTGACAGATCACCTTCAGTCACGACTATAGTCCATAATTAATCCTGTATTTACATAGTGCATGTTTATTTCTGACATCCAGAGAATGTGGCAGATACAACACTAAGCAAATTCTACACGGCCTGGGTCCCATACCTCTCCTCTTGAGGAGTCTTTGCTAGGAGATGAAGATGATGAGTGAGGTGCAGCCACCAAAGAAGTAGCACCAATGGCTGCAGCCGGAGGGAGTTCTCGCTCTTCAGTCCCTGGACGTCGGTTCCAACTGGGGTCACTCATGGGTCGCCGGACAGAAGACACTATATCAGAGCTCCTGCTGCGAACCAGTCTCTCAGGGTAAGAATGCCTTTGCCTGAACGCTTCCATTTCAGCTGGAGTTAAAACATGAGAACCGAAGTTGGGCAACCTGGCCTCATTTCCTCCCACTGCTCCTTCCAGGATTGGAGGGTCTGGAGGTGGATGTGATGGTCTGGAATAGTGAACCTTTGGCCTTACCACTGCAGAAGCCCCTGCAACACATAAAGAAAGCTTTGTAGCCAAAACACCATTTCACAAATGCATTAACAAAGGATCTGGTTTTCCTCTTCTATTTCACTAGTTTACCTTCATGCGAAGACAGTGGATCAAACATAGCGAGCAGAGACTCTGACTGAGAAGGAGGGGAAGTCAGCTGATGGGCACCTGGAACAGGAGGGCAAGCTGTGAGACTAAGCCAGAACTCAGCCAGAGCACATGTGGGAGGGCGGGGGAGGGGGTGGTCAGGTCATCTAATGCTTGTCAACAGTTTTATTTCACGTTTTTATCTTCACGTATGGATTTTCATTATATTTAAGAGGTCTAGCATCTACATGCCTATTACTCTCTTTCCTTCGCGCGCGCGCGTGTGTGTATACGCGTGCGTGCGTGTGTGTATACGCGTGCGTGCATACGTGCTGTGTGTGGCGCTGGGGATCAAATTCAAGGCTTCACACATGTAAGGCAAGCATTCAACTACTGAGCTATGTGTCAGTCCAGACATGCTTATTATTTCTCATGGCCAAAGCCATTATGGTTAATGCAGACACCACAGACTCACTGATTCTCAAAATTCAGATCTCAGAACTCTTTCATATCCTTAAAAATTACTGATGTAAAAGCTTTTGATTATCTACTGATATTTACCATATTAGAAATTAAAACTGAAAAAGCAGCTTAAATATTAGTTCATTTAAATAGACCCATTAAATGGTGGTAAGCTTTCTAGATGAGAAATAACTTTATTTTCCAAAACTAAAAATAATGCACAGTGGCCCTGTTTAACATTTGCAAATTCTTTAATACATGGTTTAAGAAACACAGTCAGACTCTTGTATCTGCTTCTGTGCTGAAAGTGTTGCAGTATGGTTTTTTCATGTTAGTGCATAAATAAAATCTGGCCAGTGTAGTGCACGCCTGTAATCCCAGCACTTGGGAGGCTCAGGCAGGAGGATCACTGTGAGTTCAAGGCCAGCCTGGGCTACACATGAGACCCTGTCTCAAAAAAGCCAAAACAAAAAGAAACCCCCATTTGTGAAGACTTGGTAGATTATCAAAAAATAATTAGCCTTAGTTTTCTACAGTAACTTGATAGACCATGCCATGTTGGGAGTGTAGCTCAGGGGCAAGCACTGCAAGGTCCTGGGGTTTGATCCTCAGCACTGAAAAAAAGAATATATCCTTTTTCCAACTGCATGACTGTGTAAGGCACAGTGAGTTGAAGACCAGCCTGAACTACACAGAGAGACTCTGTCTCAAAAAAAGCCTCAGTTTCAATCATGGACATGAACATATTTATTTATTTATTTTTGGTATTGGGAATCAAATGCAGGACCTCATACTTGCCAGGCAAGTGCTGTACCACTGAGCTAAATCCCCAGCAGATGTAAACATATTAAAAAGCCATTCTTATTTCCTCTTCTTACCATGAGTTATTTCATCCATATCTGGACTAGTGACAGAATCTTTACCCCCAAAATCAGAGCTGCACTCAGATCTCAAGTCTTCGATCTTATTGGGAATATCCTCAGAGGTGGCACTTATGCCTTTAAAAAAAAACAGCAAAAATAAACAGCAAGAAGAACAAAGTAACTACACAAAATGTACATTAATTTTAAAAAAATTTAAACATTTTCAAATTTTATACATCTCTCATGTGCCTATGTGTGAGCTATTTAGTATTATATCCTTTATTATACTACTGCTCAAATATATAAAAGGTGATCACATATAGGGTAAATATTTAGGTTTTAAAAAGTTTATTACAGTAAAAGATACACAGTCATTAATCCCCCTTGCTGGGTGTGGTGGCACACACCTGTAATCCCAGCACTGAGGAGGCTGAGGTAGGAGGATCCTTGTGAGTTTGAGACCACCCTGGGCTATGAAGTGAGTTCAAGGCCAGCCTGAACTGCATAGTGAGAGCCTGTCTCAAAAA